TGTGATACAACCACAGTAATGCTGAGATATCTGCAAAACTCCGGATCGCAGGTGTCTGCGGTGGGGAACGAACTCTTACCGGGACTAATGCTCTCACCACCTCACCATGCCGGTCCTTCGTTTAGCCTGTCTCTGAGCTAGTTCTATCGATCACTGCCATCAACAATCAATGAACCCACTTAAGCTGAGGCTGTAGTTATCTGCGGTCCGGAGTTTTGCAAATGCATCAGCATCATTGTGGTTGTGTTAAAATTTCTCTAAATAGTAAAAACTTCACTCCAATCATTCGAAATAATTTAAGGAACATTGGAATACAACAGAGACATTCATTTATGGCCACGGATTGATAACTGCATCTAAAAATTTTCGATGGAATCAGATGAAAAATGAGCGCTCTTCAAATATGTAACAGAACCCCAAATGGGACGCTTGGAACAGTAGCCTCTGAAGAGTTTTACTTACCTTGTCGAAATTCAAACTTATAATTCAGCAGCAGGAGGAAGAACAAGAAACGTAGAATTGTGTAGTACATTTAGAATCGTGAATCTGCTGAATATAAGTTATCTCGTGCTATTTTCGATCCGATGGGCTAATGAAGGTTGGAAGTCGAAGTAATTTTGACAGATGAAAAAGATGTTGTGATGAATAGCCATAAACCTTCTTTAAATGCACTCGAAAATCTTTGCTAAGCACTATGCAACACTAGTTATTTTCCTAGGCCTGCAATGAGGTCCACGTAGTTCAATGTGCCCCTCACTGCACGGAGGGCCCTTATTTGATCTAGCAATGTGTGAACCATGCCGCTATTCCCTCTGAGATCGGTGTTCATTTGCCGGACTTGTAAGGAAACCATTCACATTCTGCAAAACCTAACAACGCTCCCAGAATATTATTATAAGCTTGCCTTTCGGAGAGGAAAACTCAGCTATACTGGCATTCAACGACATTCATGGAGAAGATAAAAAAATACTCAAACAGCAGTGGAACCCACATGCAAATCTGTGGGCCCTTGTGAATTATGGAGGCGGGGGAACAGATTGAGTGTGAGAAGTCCTAGGATCTGCGTAGGAGACGCGATGACAGATCGTATAAAGTGTAAAAAAAACCCCATAAGGTTAAAGAACCTTTCCTGGAACTACAAAATTGAAGAGTCCTGTTATGATTCCGCTATTAGCCGAGTGTATCTCTACACTAGGCAGAAAAGCAAACGGTACCACCACAAGTTTCTATTTGCTCCTAAAAGAATGTCGAAAGTCTAAATTGGTCTGAAAAATCTAATGTGCTCTTCATTGCTTTAACGCAAGTCACGAGTCGATCAAGTAGTATGTATTTCATTATAATGAACAGAATCGCAGCGATTACAGATGACTAAGAATAAGCGGTTAAGGTGTTACAATATGACTGATTAGAAGTCTTAGAACAGAAAAAGTAAAAGTGTTTCAGATTGTAGAAGGATTTTCGTTCAGAATAACCGTGGATGAAGAACAGCTAGGGATCCATTCCTCTTAAGTTCGAGTTGCTCTAGAAATCCAATTCAAAGAACTTTGTCGGAAATACCTCTTGCTGTATGACTTAAACGTTATCGACTGAAAAAGGAAATGTTCGACAACGTTGAAACGAATGCAATACTGTTAGCTTCGTCGAGCAAGGAATAAGCAGGTCCTATTTAAGAACTCTAGCAAACTGATGTCGTAACTGCCGTACAAAAAAACTCCTTTTCTGCCTACCGCTTAGCATCTCCATGGTAGAAGATTTCCGATGAAATGAGAAATATCACGTCAAGGTTGTTTACTATCGCTGTGGAGCTGGTAATAAAGTCAATCGTGTGGAAGGACAAGGCCATAGGGATTAATGGCAAATTCCTATCAAACTTTTTTCTGGATAAAAGATAAAGCCGGTTTAAGCTCGTTGTTCATCCGGTGTGATGAATGAATGCAACAAATTGTGATTCCCGTCAATCGTCTAATTCCAATGTTGCCGTACCACGGCGAGGGGATCAGTTAGAAAAACTAATAATTTCCCTATTTCTTGTTTTACTTCTTTATGTTAAGTGAAAATGTTTGTAGGAGGAAAATTTATATTTGCTTTTCTTACGAATAAGAGCTTCTCATTGCCCACTGTTTGAAGGAAGATTGTTATATTTATTCCTTTTTAATTTTATTTTACTTGGTCTATCATCACGTCAACTGTGCGGATACCAGCACTTCTCACATCCAATTCTTTTCCTTGCATCCATCGTCCATCGCTCTGCCATCAAGGTCTCCTAAGTTTTTGCTTGTGGCTTCGGTTGCTGCTTGAGGATTTTCACTTAATCTTGAATATTATAGAATGATGGTAGAGCAATTCTCTCTGGAGACCTGAGATAGCCGGGCTGGAGCGCTCCTGACTGGATCGCAAAGTGATTTTTTCCCAGAGAAGTTGGGCTCCAATTTACCGACCCCGGAGGGATGACAGGCTTGGTTGGCCAGGAACAAAATCAAAGTAGCATCATGGTCGTGATGACGGACATCACTGCCACCGTGCTATCCACCTCATGAAAGGATGTTGTAATTTTGGTAAATAGAAAAGCACGATGAGAACCACAATTTTGGTAGCTATTTTTGCTGTTTTTAGGAAAAACATAGCTACCAATGTTAGCTAAGCACTTCAATTTGTAAATAGCAGGATTTCCGCGAATAGGCTTAGATTTGGGATCGGTATGTGAATGACGAGAAAAAAGGTCGAAAAGCACATACAAATGGCATTTCAAGTAAGTAAGAACTGAAAGCTGAAATCTATATATGCTGGAATACCTGCAGCTACAGCCAGGGTCGTTTATTATTGATCATGCTTTAGCTTGACTAGCTTAGGATTGTACGGCAGAATCACGCTCGTCCAGCGTTTAGCATGCTAATGAGGAAAGCATATTACACATTTTTAAGATGCATTTGAACCCCCACCCAAACCTCACCGGCTCTACGGTTGATGGTTGCTGAACAATGGACCGAATTATGACATAGCTGGAGTCCGAATGACATGCGAAGACGGAAGTTGTCTATTCTTCTACTTCAAGAGGTCTTATACTTCTCAAATGTAGCACATGATTGCAAGTATCGTTTTCGGAAACATTGCAGAGACACTACCATCGACGTCGAAGACGATAACCTCACTAGTTTAGTTTCTTAAACAGTGTACCAAAATTGCAAAACAATAAGCAAAAAACGCAAAGCTAGCGATACCTAGTTTTCTTCTGCGTGTGGTCCTTTGCAGTTGCCACTAAATAAAAGGGGGTCATACCCATCATAAGTGTGCATTCGTCATTCTCCTTTCGGTACGATATTTATATTCCGTGTATTAACATGCAATCCTGATTGTGTCGATTCAGTCTGGCTAGATGGAAAGGCGTTAGCCAATTCCACATTCGATTGGAGAAAAGGGAGTGAGCCGATAAGTTTACATGAGCGTTGCAGAAGTAAGGCTCAACGAGGAGCACAAACCCAGACCCAATGTTTTCCTTCTGGCAAGCTTGAGTTCTTTCTGAGTTAACTTAAGTGTTTGAAATTTAGACATTGTGTAAACACGTCAATAGTATAGTGTAATCTTAATGTCTCTAAACTTCATCAAGGAGACTGTGTTTTTATTCCACTGTGTCACATAATTCATAAGGCTGTCATACCATTAATTTCGGTTGATTAATAATTTGCTGTCGCTTGATAGGTGCACACGAGATTGTTACCATATACTATTTTTCGCAAACGTTTCAACGGATTTCACCTTTCGGAGAGCCTGGAGAGCTGAATTTAACAGAAAACACCTCAATAACCTTAACAGAAAACCGCGACACTCGCATGACTATAAGGCATACTTCCCTGTGGTTCATTTTTGTATTCTTCGAAGTCATCCAGAATGTTTCGAGGGCTTTACGCGCTGAAGTTTACGATCCCTGTACGAGGATGCTCATACATTTCTACTTTCAAATCCTTCCTGTTACTTGTCCGTTTACTACGAGTAACTGTTAAGGCATTTTCTTTACCTTTACTTCAACTTTGCCAATTAGGTGTTTTTTTTCAAGAACACATAGTTGTCATTTACATAATGTTGACATACTGTTGATTGTATTCTTTCTTGATGAGCTTACGCGAGGTTAATAAATATATTTATTTTCGGCTAACATTTCGACGTTTTCGTCTTCCTCAGAGCCGATGATCCGAGTCGATGTCCACGCTTGTTATTCTTCTCGACATGGCGGCTTAGTCTTCGTGTCGAGTCAGGTCTTCCTCAGTGTTGATTGTGTTTAACACATAGTATCAAATAAGTCAGTTTCGACACGGTTGAGACGCAAAACTTAGCAATTGTAAATGTGAACAGTGCTTATATAGACCGCGTAGAAAATCAGCCAATAAAGTGGGGATCTTCCTAAAACTATTAGTTTGGAGATGAATTCACTGGAGACAAACAATGAACCAGACAGTCATCTACCAGCTGTCCTGATATGTTCAGAAAATCGTCCACAACGATCCCTTCTATTGGGAGCACTCAAGTTCGATAATGGAAGCTTTTCAATGTCTTGAAAGTGATGTGGGAAAGTTGCCAATCCAAAAAAAGCCGGCCAAAGCGTAAAATGAAGTTTTACAGACCTCGAAATTGAAACCCTCTTTGATTCTTGGGACATTCTAACCTACCAAATAACCAAACTGTTGGTGGACATCAGTGCCCAACACAATTGCAGATGGCACGAATTTAGAGTTCTATTCACTAAAAATAAGTTGACAACAATGTGACACCGCTGCATTTTTTTAGCGTATTGTTGGGAAATATGGCTAGGTATGTCTCATTCCGTGCAACCGATAATTTTCTTTCGCCCATAGACAGTCTGAGAGAACTAGTCTTTCCTATATTTTGACCAGGCCACCCAACTTATTTGACTTTTTCTTCTTATTAGAACTATCATTTGTCACGTTTTATTGATAAAATAGGTTCTCATAGACATCATAACGTCCTTGGACACATCCAATTCACAGTCATTTCCCATAGAGGCTAAAGCGTGGTGGTAAGAAGACGCTGTTTGCGCCGAAGCCGAGTGGCATGTAGAGATCTTCAGCGTCGTAATTCGAGTTCATTCGTCGTTTGAAGTTTCGTGAATCATCAACCGGATGTTTCACGTTGTTCCTCAACGCGTCAAAATTCGTTCGGAATCGATATGGCAAACTGATATCTGCAAAAGCGATCAGGAAGAAACATAGAAAAGATGGAAAATGATTCCCATTCCAGAAAAAAATACGACTGAAAAGATGTAACTCACGATTTCGAGCAGTTTAATGGAAAACGGTTGAACCGATATCAGTATTTTTATCTCTAATCAATGACGAGGGACAGAAAAGTCTAGTTAACCTAGTGGCAGTTGGTGTTAAATATAGGAATACGTTTGATTTGACTCCACACGTGGGTACACATTTAACTCAACGCAAACAGTCCAAAATTCTGCTAGAGTGGAAGGATCTTCGCATTTTTTCATCATTGGTGCTCTGTTGTGGCACTCTTTCTGTACAGTAATCAGGCACATTGCTACGTGACCTACAAACGCCAGCAGTTTTCTCCAAAATAAGTAACCTTTGTAAGCTTTAATGAAAGAAAGTTCTCCTTCGAATTAAGCCGCACACAGTACGTGATGTATAACACAAAAGATTTCGTAGAAATGTTTGTGAAGAAGGGAAAAACAATCGGAAGGAAAACTGAGAGCACTGAAATCAGCGTTGGTGGATGGATGTGAACGCATTAAAGCTATTTTGTAATAATTGGCTAACACCACCAACACATCTATCAGACAATAAAGTGAGGATGTTAAAAAAAAAACCTTTCGTTCAATTTCTGCTAGCTATTTTACGTCGCATCCCAACAGTTCACCGCCTCATCGTGGCTGGGAGATGTTTATGGGTGTACGGCAGCGATGTATAGCGGTGAGATTCGTCCCTCCGGAAGGGTCTCCAGAGCTGATAAGGAGTCCGGCGCTTCCACCAGGAAGTCCAGCTAAAAGCAAACCAATACCAGGATCCACCATTGTCCTGGTATGAAACTAGTCGCACGGTGGAAAATCTCACTCTGATCCACAAACGCTGGCGACTGCCTGCGGTGGTGAAGACCTGGGGAAGACTTTGACCACGCTAACCTTGAGACTCCGAAGAACCACAATGTGTAGACTAGCGAAACTCCGAAAAAACGGAAATTATGCTAAAGCCAACACAACCAGTGAGGACGGACCATCCAAGTATCTAAGTATTTTTCGTTGAATTGGATTAAACTTCCGCGGATTACATTAAGAAATTTTATGAACAGTTTTGTTTCACATTTTCTTCAATCAATTTTAGACACTCAGCCAACTGATGAGGAGATGAAATATATGCCACGACAAACGTCTTCTGCTGTTTGAGGAGAATTAAAGCCACGCTTTTGCTGGATGTTTTCAAAACTTTCGAGGATAAAGTTAAGGCAATAAGACAACAAGTTTGTTCCACCCATTCTAAATTTTTCATCGAGCAATGTAATCGGATAAAAGCTATTGGACGATGAGGGGCTTCTAATTCGAAAACTTTCGATTGGCACAGGTGGAACATGATCGAGTGCCTAATAGCACCATCCCATTCGCGATATATGAGAGCCCTCATTTGGCGTAAGCCATACTTACCTTGTCCAGTTGTAAATTCGACATTCTGCAACATAAGCATGAACCCGAATACAAAACTGACGTAGCGCATTTCTAACTGCAAATTTTCTGAAACAAAGTGTTTTAAGGATTTTTGATGTGATGCGAATGCTCAAAGCCACTTGGTCGAAAAAAATCCGAGAGGAAAAGAATCACTGAAAAACTGAAAGTAACTTCAGAATGCAATGATATCAAAAGCCTCTTTATGACTAATTGTGAAACAAAAATTTTTTGAAATGAGCTAAATAGAATGCGAAACAACTTTTGTGAAGAGGATTAGAACTGAACTCGACCACTCGGTTTGAAGACGCTGAAAGTACGACGCTGCTGTTTTATCTCTTAGTCTTGGAGCTGGTTCTTTTATTTGGAAGGTTCTCCAATTAAACTAGCATCCACTAAACTGGGTAATTAAGGATTCTTTTTACGAAAGTCAACTTTTAGTTAGCCTCAGCATGATTATTCAATATTTTGCTGCATTGATTAACTTAGATGTGGTAGTTATAAAGTCTTCATTGTGGCTAAAGTTTTACAAGTCACTTGTTCTCCCGATATCCATCGGTAACTTGGTACAAAACGTTAAGGAGAGATCACACGTATCACCTGCGATCCTGTTGATTGTGAAATGGCTCGAGTCTGCTTTATCATCAACAGTGTATCATACCGAACGGAATGGAAGGATAAAAACCCTAAGTGGACAGCAATCTTATGCTTTTTTGATAAGCAAAGACGAGGTTGTCACTAAAACAATATTTGTTCTCCAGGAGTGAATTTTTCGGCGGATTTTACCTTTTCGAAGCGTGGAAGTTATACTGATACGTTCCTTGTTCAGCTAAACGCTTTCGTAGTTCCCACAGAAGGAATCCAAAGCCTGAACTTTAGAAGAAAGCAGTTTTGTCAAGCACTCGCTACCCTCCAGAAAACCAACCGCACAATGGCCTCTCAACTCAGCACCTCAGCGCTCACGTAAAAGAATACCTAATCTGCTCGATCCTTCCAGTAAATATTACCTCTATAATAGGTTTTAACATGGGACACCGAGGGTAACAAGCTTTTCCATTGCTTGCATGTATGAAATAGAAGTCTCAGCACTCGTCTCCCGGCTATTTCTCTACTGCGGCTTTATTACTTTATTCACAACTGCTTCGTCATCGGATCGACACAAGAGTAAACGGGAAAATACTACGAAGAGCTGAACGAAAAGTCAAAGTACACCAATTTCAGCTGCTAGGAACCAAAGAAAGACTGGCTTCCACTTTCGAGCGTTCATACTAACTTGTCCGAAAACTTCAACATCACCAAACGGTGGCAAAAGACAAGAAGCAGGAACACAAAATTTCATTTCCTCTCCTATCATCTTTCACACAGAAAGAGAAAAGTCTACGAACATGTTTCTAACAGCCATCAATGTACATGCAGAAGGATCGCGGAAAGAGAAATCACTCAACGTGGCGTGCCAAATGGTTATTTCAAATGAATATGAAAAAGTAGCATCGCGGTAGAGGCTAAAAGGAAAACCGCGCCCACGAACTATAAATCTAATTATGAGAAATGGCTTACGACCTTCGCTTCATTTTCGAAGCACAAAGCACGACCATAAAGCAACGATTATTAAGGATCCGTCTAGGGAAATCGGCAGCAATAATTGAACTGCCACTCTACGTTCCTGGCCACTTCACATTCGCCTCTATGAGCGTCTATGCACAGCGAAAAACTGCATAATATGCTCTAGCGGTAGCGATGGTGGTTGCATAAGTTCGGATACGGTGTGAGCAATCTCCTGCAAAGCGCACACGGGCGAATACATTGACGAAATGGATAGACCACTAGATGATCGTTTGCGGCGATACGTAGCGATAAACTTAAATATAATACTCCGCTAGGCATGCCTAGGACACAGAGGTATAGCGGGAAGGATTTCAAAATAAAAAGAACTATTTGGGCAAATGTAAGTTTCGTGTTTTCCCTGTTGAAGCTACGGAAGTATATGACTACGCATACTGTGTATGAATTCGACCAATTAGGCGTCGAAGAAGGCAAAATCTTCCGAAACATCAACTATTGCCGAGTATTGCCTTGACGACTCCTCGTGTGGTCATAAAAAGAACATGAAATTTTTCACCACCGACATTAGTAGATGATCTCACGTTATATTTATTTATATGAACTTATAAATTGATCTTCTTTAGCCGATGCGAGGTTGGCATAGGTCTTCGTTGTCGTTGCCGTTGTTGTTGATGTTGTTGGTCAATGGCTGACGTTTCGGTGATTTCGCCTTCCTCAGAGCCTGGACGTATCTCATATAAGAATACTTTAATTATTCAATGGAAAAAGACTAAAGTATTAATGAAGATGAAACCTTTAAATAGACGCTATATTGAACAGAAAACTGTGATGTTACAAGTGGGACTAGCCCACGCGTTGCTCACGTGGGATCGCGCGTAAGAGACACCCCGGGGTCAAAATATCATTTTGAAATAGTGCGCCAAGTCACCTGTGGTAATGAGACATTCGTCTTTCCGGTTCACCTTTGGATTTTTGAAATTTATCGAAAACGCCTCAAGAGTCTTGCGCGTTGATGTTTTCGATTCCTGCGCTAGGATCCGTACATTCACTTCAAAATCAACGCCGTTGTTCTTTTGTGCCCTATGCGTATCTAGATGAGTGTTTAGACGGATTTTAACTTTTCCATCTAGATGTTCTTTTATGTGGACACAAAGCTGTCTACCCGTTTCCTCAATATATTCTTAACGCATGCGTTGCATGAAATCAAGTATATTATACCTGAATTCATGCAATCCCCGTCTCTCCCGTTAGGACAGATCGTACGGTTTTCTGAGCTATACAAGCGATCATAGAGACGGTTGCGAACTAACTGACGGCGTTAGGTATTGGATAGGATGTCAATAATGGTTACATAATTTTCAAGACCACTTTTTGTTATGCATCTCTCAATATCGTAACTTACTTTATTTGATATGAGGGGTAGCATAAATGGGATCTTAGTGACGTCCGAAACATTACTTTGGCGAACTACTCTACGTTTTTGTCTAACCCGAATTTCTTCTACTTCGTAGCCATTGGAAATGGCAATTTTTCGTGCCAGGATTCGCGATTTCTTCCTTTCCTCTTCCCCTGTGCCCATGTTTTTAGCAGTGCGGTACATGTTTTTGATAAGCGCTTTTCCATGTGTGAAGGATGAGAGGAGAGGTAGTGAACTAGTATATTCTTACTATTTGGCTTACTTGCCATTTTGTTATATAGCCACTTTTTGAAAGCTTTATTTGGACGTTTAACAATGGTGGAAGCCAGTTTTCTGTTGGTTTTTCCCGTGTAAATTTTATATACTCTGACTGTCGGTTTAACAATTCAAACAACTCATCCATCTGTTCTTGTGTGGAACAGACGTTGAAGCTGTCGTCCATATATCGACAGTAGAGTAAGGGTCGGTGATCGAGAACTGAAGCTTCACCTTAGACATGAAAGCGATGACAAGGTTTGGTGTCAAATGCTGTTCCATGGCCAACCCTCCAATTTGTGCAAAATATTTTACGGGCTGCCTGAAGATTGAACAACTGATATACTGTTTTAAGAAAGTCATTAGTTGCACAATCGATAAGTTTTACATTTTTACTTTCTTTTCATGCTCTACGAGCAACTCGAGAATGGTTTGCATTGCGGTGTCATTGGACACGTTGGTATAAAGTGAAGTAACAACGAATGATTCCACTGCATGCGTGCTGTTTGGTTGCACGCACCGTATGTGGTCTAAAAATATTTTAATAATATATATATAATATTGAGAAATAAAAAGGATTAAGCTCTAGGCGTTGATCAATTCCTGACGGATGCTCCATGCATTCTACTTTATTAAATATCGCTGAAGGTCATTGAATGCATATCTGGCCTTTAAAATGATTCGCTGTGATGTTAAGAGCAAGTTAAGGAAAAAGTGTGAATATCTATCACGCCGCTAAAAAACGTCGAATCAAGGGACCACCGCTGGTCAAGTTTTAACTAATAACGCTAGAATAGAGTGCGCACCAAAATCATGCAGAGATACTGTGCTAGGAGAATAACGCTTCCGGAAAATGCGCGTTCATTGTTAGAATTGGGTCTAAGTTTCGATCGCGTCTAGTCAAGCCATTTCTAAACCAATCTTGTTCAGGAGCACGTGTAGTCTGCATAAACTTCAAGATCAGCTACGTTACAGGGCTAGGCTAGAAAGTAAAGTAGTACCAAGGGGGAACTGCCAACAATACTTTTTCCCCCAAACCTTTTTAAACAAGAGCTACTAAATAGCGATATTGACCCTACATTTCGTTTACTTTCGGACGAAATTCTCCGCATGCTTAATCACTACCGAAAAATGAAAATAAGCTCAGACCTCACAAACCAACAAAAATGTGATATGCGCCAGGCTAGAGAGCTCTGGAATTCAAAATCTGTTAAACTTTCTATCAGTGAAAAGGTGGAGAATTTGTAGTTATTCCTAGCCAGTTGGATATTAGGATAACAGAGGAGCACCTCAGTGATGTTTTTATCTATGGAACATCCTCTGAAAAGGAATACCGAAAATTGAATCAAGAATGGGTCAGCACGGCAAAGGCCACGGGCTTAGAGCCTTCAGTTATTTTTCGACTTAAGAACGAACACCCGATTTGCCCTGTTTTTTACTTGCTTATTAAAACACATAAACTTACTTCAACTGATGATCAACTGATCAACTGATTATAAAGTCTTATGAATAAATATATCAAGTAACTATGCCGAGGTCTATAGAAAGTCGGTCTTTTGAGTTATTAAGACATCCCACATTAGTAAAAATTCGTTCCCGGACATTCCTAACTGGACAAAACAGTGACTAACCACAAATTAATGCACAGGTTAAGCAAGAATTCAGTAACCTTTACAATGCTTAATGGAGTACAAGGGGAATAGTATGACTCATCGTCGAAACGATCAACACCTAACGCCCTATCCTTCCATTTCCAAATCACCTCAATTTCTATTGACATTGCGTGAAATACAGTCGATTATAACTACTCTTCAGCA